TTTTTTCAGGACAATCCTCTTCGAATAAGGGATAAGGATTGAGATGTCCAATGTCCAATCACCGTCCCCCAAAGTAGCTACTATAGTCCCAACTCAAGAATGGGAAAGGTAATGTTGGTGGACAGGAAAGCGATTTAAAACTGGGCTTAAAGCCAACCTTAAAATCTGTGGCATAGACACTGAGAACTTGGAAGCCTTGGCCCTTGAGCACTCTAGCTGGAGGTCAGCTGTGACCAGCAGTGCTGCAGAATTCCAAGAAGCAGGATTGGAGGGCGAAAGGTAGAACTGGGAAGTCCTGGCCCTTGAGTGCTCTAGCTGGAGGTCAGCTGTGACCAGCAGTGCTGCAGAATTCGAAGAAACAGGATTGGAGGGTGAAAGGGAGGAAGTGCCAAGAGGAAGGTGCTGCCTTCAACATACAGACTACGAACCCTCCGCCAAGACACTACACTTGGAGGACCATCATCCTCGGGCTACAAGGGATCGCTTAAGTAAGTGTCTCAAGATGTGTCTACACTGTCGAATGACTGCCGTGGTTCAATATTATGGAATCCTGGCATTTTTTTTACTTTGATGAGGCACCAAAGAAGGTTTAAAAAGTCCTTGTGTAACTACAACTCCTGTGTTTATTTATTTATTGTGCCAGAAAAGAATTGAGGGTAATGTTGTAATGTATTTAAAAACACAAACAAAGTTAAGAACTTGGCATTATCCTAAATGTCCTTTGACCAGAAGTTGGTCACTTGGAGTGGATGTGACAATAATAATAACAACAACAATAACTGAAGTGCCTCTGGTGTTGCTGTAAGAAGGTCTTCCATTGTGATGTGACAATAATAATAATAATAGAGTAATAATAACTGAAGAGAAGCAACTTGAAAAGCTGACAAGATATGAGGATTTAAAGATCGAACTGCAAAGATTCTGGCACAAACAAAGGTGGTCCCAGTGGTGATCGGTACACTCGGTGCAGTGCCTAAAGACCTTGGTCTGCACTTAAACACAATCACGCATTATTCGCGGATAAATCACACAGTCCTAGACACTTGAGAAGTGGACGATATGTGATGCAATACATCAGCCAGCAGAGTGTTGTGTTTCAAATAATAATAATAATAATAATAATAATAATAATAATAATAATAATAATAATAAAGTTCAGGTTGCATTGTAATAGGTGGTCTGCGATTCCATAGCATTGTGCCATGGCAGTCAAAGTGGCTCAAACTGCATTCATGCCACAGTGTAGATGCACCTGTAGTTGTACCTGCACTCGACTGGACACTCTGGATAAGCATGAGGTAGGTCAGCCTAAGAATGGACGCAAATTTTGGTGAACCGAGGTTCCAGTTACATTAATACGGCAATAAGGTTTCAATAAGATCGTCGTTCAGCTTATTTCGCATGGATCCTGCCTATGTAATATCTTTTATTGCCCTTCCCTCGGGGGAAAAAATTGTTGGTTTTTTTTTTTTTAGGAAGCGAGCTCCTTCCCCACATTCCCGACACAAGGAAAAACACTTTTTACTGCTCAGAGAGCCCACCATCTAGACCAGGTATGGGCAAACTTGGGCCCTCCAGGTGTTTTGGACTTCAACACCCACCATTCCTAACAGCCTCAGGCCCTTTCCTTTCCCCCCTCAGCCGCTTAAGCGGAAAAGGAAAGGGCCCGAGGCTGTTAGGAATGGTGGGAGTTTGAAGGCCGGACGGTGAGGACACAAGTCACAACACTGATGAGCTCAAGGGCTTCCGTTGGTTGGAGTTTGTTCTCCACAGGTTGAAGCTCTAGCTTCCAACTGCATTAAATGGTCAGCTCAGGCGGGGCCTTAGGGTGCTCCTATAGAGTCCGAAGGCTCCAGAGCCAGGGCTGATGGGCTTTGCCACCTTTCCGCGGCCACCACCTGTTTGTTGTTGACTCGCCCGAGCTGTTCCTAAGGTGACTCTTCCCAGAGCAGCTGCGGGGCGGGAGGGAGCCCAGAAGAGCCGGGAAAAGAATGGCAGGAACAACCAGACTGACTCACCCGGGCGGCTCGCCAAGGAAAGGGAAGGGGGGGTCAGGCGAGGAGATCAGCTCTCTCTCTCTTTCTCCTTCCCTCTCTCCCCGGGATGGCCTCGCGTCACAAGAGGGACTCCTTCCCAGGAGTTGGGTGTCGGCCAGGCATTGGGGGGGGGGGGGGGGGGGGGGAGTATGGGGTTGGTTAAGGAAGAGGAGGGATCCCCGGCTGGGTGGGCTTTTCAAGGACAATGGCAGGCACGCACAGGTGTGGATGGGTTCCTACATGTGTGTTCTATTTTTTCTCTGCATTATTGTTGTTGTTATTATTATTATTATTATTATTATTATTATTATTATTATTATTATTATTTGGAACACAACAAGATGAGTCCACATTTGAAACACAACAAGATGAGATGCTGGCTGTTGAATTGGATCACACGTCGGACACTTCCCAAATGTCTAGGACTGTGTGATGTATCGGTGATTAATGCGTGCAGATCCCAGTAAGGTGGACTTCTGCAGCTGGCAGATAGTAATTTTATCAGCGCAGATTGTGTTTAAGTGCAGGCCAAGGTCTTTAGGCACTGCACCCAGTGTGCCGATCACCACTGGGACCACCTTTACTGGTTTGTGTCAGAGTCTTTGCAGTTCAATTTTTAAATCCTCATATCGTGTCAGCTTTTCCTATTATTATTATTATTATTATTATTATTATTATTATTATTATTATTTCCCACTCAGTCTATTACACTTTTATAAACTATTACAGTCTATAACACATTTTTTGTTCCTGGGTTATAAATAAGTCATTTCCTAATTGATTCTATCATAAATATATGAGGAAAGTTTTGTTTCACAGTGTTATGAGTTGAATACATTGTGTGGACCAGTGTGTGTGTATGTTTGTGAGTGTGTGTGTGTGTGTGGGGGGGAGGTATACACTTAAGACCCACTTTGGCCCTCCAAGGAAGTTGGACAAGTTAGGCGCTTTACACAATTACAACTGAGGAAAACAGGCCACAGTAACAACAACAACAACTCTAAAAGCACTTGAAAAGTAATACGATTTTTGTTCCTGGGATATAAATAAGTCATTTCCTAATTGAGTCTATAATAACACAACAAGAAAGTTTTGTTTCATAGTGTTATGAGTTGAATACATTTTGAGGACCAATGTGTGTTGGTGGGTAGGTGGGTGGGAATACACTTAAGACCCACTTTGCCCCTCCAAGCAAGTTGGACAAGTTAGGTGCTTTAAGGGAGGAAAACATGGTGGAATAACAACAACACAATAACAATGATAACGATAATAATAATGATAATAATGGTGGTAATAATAATAATAATAATAATAATAATAATAATAGAAACTTCAAAAAGCACTCAAAAAGCCTTAATTTGGACTGAACATCAATCCACATGCTGCAGAAGGCAGCACTTCTAGGAACTGATTCTCTAATATGAGTTGCTGTGAGTTTTCCCGAACTGTATTACCATGTTCCAGAAGCATTCTCTCCTGAAGTTTCACCTACATCTATGACAGGCAACTTCAGGGGTTGGGGGTTCTGTTGGAAGCTAGGCGAGTGAGTTTTATATATCTGTGGAAGGTCCTGGGTGGGTGAAAGAACTCTTCTCTGCTTGAGGCAAGTATGAATGTTGCAATTGGCCACCTTGATTGGCATTTAAGGCTCTTGGGAAGAACCCATATTCAGAGAGGAATCCCAAGACACTTGGACATAATGTGTGCTGGGTTGTTATGTACATATAATAAACAAACACACACACCCAACCCAACAGATCTTTGTATGCTGATTTTTAGGTCTGTTCCTGGTGTTAATTGGGCCGATGGTTCAGATAATAGCATTGGATAGGTAGGCCGCATTAGCTCTAGTTTCTTAGATATATGGATATATAATGGGTTTTCTGTAGGTGAACAGCCTATGTTCTGTATTTCAAAAACTACAGCTGATAAAAGAAAACTGGTGACCTTTTTGGAACTGGTGGGTCAAATACACCCAGACACAGATCTACTATTTGAGGCACCAAAATGTGGCTTGTCTTGCCTTCCTCCTCCTATAACTCCAGCCTTCCTTGACCTGCAATTTAGGTTGGTTTTTTGTTGGAAGTCAACCATAACCTGTACAGGTTTATAGTGGAGCTACCTTAGCTGTCTCTCTCTCTCATATTGTTGAGGACTAGAAACTCGTGCAGGGAATAGTTGACTGCCAACAGTTTTGTCCCCTCCCCTCATTCAGGGTGAGGCGCACATTCTGCCTTGAACTGGTCTCATTTAATACTTATTTGAGGGCTATGGGTCGCAGGGCCCTTCCACACAGCCCTGTATCCCAGAATATCAAGGCAGAAAACCCCACATTATCTGCTTTGAGCATTTATGGCATTGTGGACTCAGATAACCCCCCACCCCACCAATCAACCCCCCACACACTCCCCTCATAATTATTTACAGGCCCAGCGCGCAACAGAACAGACTCAGATACCCCAGTTCAAAGCAGATATTGTGGGATTTTCTGCCTTGATATTCTGGGATAGAGGGCTGTGTGGAAGGGCCCTTACATTGCATTGTCTTTTAATGTGGTATATCTCAAGATAAGAGAAATAAAATCAGGAATAATAATCATCATCATCATCATCTCCTTGCTGCTGTCCAACAGTGGACTTTTTTGAGAGGGGGGGACTGGGGACCCTTCCACGCAGCCCTATATCCCAGAATATAAAGCATAAAATCCACAATATCTTTGAACTGGGTTGTCTGACTCCACACTCAGATAAGGTGGGATTTTCTGCCTTGATATTCTGGGTTATAGGGCTGTGTGGGAGGGCCCCTTGTTCCTTCTCTCCTACCTGGCTCTACCTCTTCTGTTTTTAGTTTCCTTTTAATGAGTGTGACCTCTCTGAGTTCCTCCTCTCTTTCCTTCCCTCCCTCCCTCCCTCCCTCCCTCCCTTCGTGGCGTTGCTGAACCCGAGGCTAACGTGGGCTGGGCTTCCCCTGGGGAGGCGGGGGCGAGTGGGGAGCCTCCGGCCCGCTTTGCAGGTGCATCTCCGGCTCCCTCGGAGGTGAGAGGGGCGTCTTTGGCGAGGCCGACAAATGGGGAGGAGGGGAGAGAAAGAGGAGGGAAAGAAAGAGAAAGAGGAGGAGGAGGAAGAGGAGGAGGGCGCTGTGGCGGCGACGTAAGATCCACCTCCGCTGCCCAACTCCACTCGCCGCCCCGCCGGCCTTGCCTCACTTTCTCGAGTGGCGCGGCGCCACACACCGCTCCTTGCCGCCGCCGCCACCTCCTCCGTGGGTGGGGGGCTCGAGACAGAGCCGGCCCTCCTCTTCCTCCTCTTCCTCCTCCTCCTCTTCCTCCCCACGGGGCTCCAGAGGTGGGGGCTCTTTCCCCCTCTGTCTCCCTCCCTCCTTCTCTCTCTCCCTCTCTCGCGTGGCCCCCTCCCCGCCTCCGCCGGCGCCGCCCCCTCGCCGGCCAGAAAGGGGCTGGATGCTTCTCCCGGGCGCCTGGGCTCCAGGATGTTAGGGACGGTGAAAATGGAAGGGCACGAAAGCAACGACTGGAACCACTACTACGGCGAGGCGCAGGAGGTGAGCCCGGCCAGAGCTGGAGTTTCCGCGGGGCGGGGAGGGGGGAAGGAAGGCAAGGGAAGGGCTTGGCTTTGGGGCTCAGAGGGGAGACTCAAGCCAAGGGTCGCCCCCCAAAAGGGAAGCGTCTCCCGAGACCTGAGATGGTATTTTCTCCAACCTATGTTCATTTTTGTAACAATATGCCCCAAAGCCACTTTATCCTCGCCTTACAGCAGTCCCACGAAAGGGAAGTGTTGAGTATCTGCCTCCCAAGAGCTCAGGTTGTATATTTTCAAACCTATGATTATTTTTGTGTCTTTATCCTAGCCTTACAGTAGTCCCACGAAAGGGAAATGTGGGGGATCTGCCTCCCAAGACGTCCGTTTGTATATTTTCCAGTCTATGTTTATTTTTTGTATCATTTTGCCCCAAAGCCACTTTATCCTCGCCTTACAGTAGTCGCACTATTGATCTTGCGTGGGGAAATCTTGCGTGGAGGAAAGGGAGATGCATGGTGGTCTAGTGAAAAAGCCAGGGTCGATCTCTCCTGGAGCACTCCTCCAACTTCTCTTCCTCCCAGCCACGGCTCTCTCTTCTCCGAGGGCCTTAGCGTTTTGTGTGTGTGTGTGTGTGCACACACACACACAACGCTAAGGCCCTCGGAGGAGAGGTTGGAAGAAAGAGAAGTTGGAGGAGTGCTCCAGGAGGGGGTCGACCCTGCCTTTCCCACTCGGCCACCATGCATCTCCCTCTCCCCACGCAAGATCAGGTACACTAGTGGAACTACTATACCTATGTTTGTGTTTATATGGGGAAAACAATCCCAGCAGCCATTCCTTGGGGAAAAACCTTTAGTTGGGGTCTTTTTTCTTCCTCTCCCCTCCCCTGTGATACTATTTCCCGGGCAAAATAATCGGTTTGGGGTGTACTTTTTGCCACACGTTTCTTTTCCGGGGATGTGGGGAACGGAGGAGAGGGAAATTACATCTAAGGTGTGCAATTCCCCCTTTGACCAGTGGGTGGAGCTGCCGAGACTGGCTCGGTTTCACCAGGAAGCCGGACTCTTGGCATTGTCCATTCATCTCTCCCTTCCTTATTTTACAATATGCTCCAAAGAGGGTGAAGAAAAGGATCAAAGACGGGAAAACGAACAATAACGGGTGGAGGGGGGAAAAGAAGAAGGGGATGAATGGGTCCTGTGACTGAGTAAAGCGTGAAAGGGGGAATAAGTCCAAAAAATAGAAAGAATGTAAAAAAAAAAAAAGACAAAAAACAAGGAAAAGGGGGAGGTCTTTAATCCAGCTTTCACAAAACGCAAAAAAGGACAGAAAACAGATGATAGGAAGAAAGACATACAAGGAGAGCAGCCTGGAAGGAGGGAGGGAGCACCCAGAAATTAACTGGGAGGACAAAGCGGGGATTTGGCTTCGCCTTTCCTTACCAGAGCCGAGGTCCGGGTCTCTCTCCCTCCTTTTCCTGCAGGCGAGGCGGTGGGCTCCCTGGAAACATATGGGTTTGTGTTGGCGGCAGGCCGTGGGCTCCTTCTTTAATACGCCAGGGTCAACAGGGGGCAAAGAAGAGGCTGAGGTGGAAATGCGCGCCTCTCCCCGACCCCCAGCCCACACGGAAAAGACCCTCCTGTAATAAGGTGGGATCTTTCATTTGCAAGCAGGCTTGGATCTCCTGAACCCGAGCCGTTGCCTCCTCTGATGCTTCGAGATAATATTGAATATTTTATTCTGAAATGCCTTTACCACTCTCACACATATATAACATGCTTTACTCTGAAATATCTCTATCACACAGATATATATGTATCATGGACATATAATAATAGGCGTACATGAACACAATAATATATTAAAATGAAATATAGACAAGACAGGGTTGCTGTGGGTATTCTAGGTTGTATGGCGAAGTTCCAGAAGCATTCTCTCCTGACATTTCGCCTGCCTCTATGGCAGGCATCCTCAAAGGTTGTGAGGTCTGTTGGAAACTAGAAAAATTGGGTTTATATATTCTCCCACCCTGCAACATTCACACTTGCCTCCAAAAGGCAAGAGTTTTTTCTCCCAACTTGAACATTCCACAGAAATATAAACCCAATTTTTCTAGTTTCCAACAAACCTCAAAACCTCTGAGGATGCCTGCCATACATGTGGGTGAAACGTCAGGAGAGAATGCTTCTGGAACATACAGCCCAGAAAACTCACATCAACTCAGATCTCACAGCCTCTGAAGATGGTTGCCGTAAATGCAGGCGAAACCTCAGTTGAGAATGCTTCTGGAACATGGAAATACAGCCCGGAAAACTCACAACCCAGACCTCACTGCTTCTGAGGATGCCTGCCATAGTTGCAGGCGAAACCTCAGGAGAGAATGCTTCTGGAACATGGCCATACAGCCCGAAAAACTCACAGCAACCCAGATCTCAAAACCTCTGAAGATGGCTGCCGTAAATGCAGGCGAAACCTCAGGAGAGAATGCTTCTGGAACATGGAAATACAGCCCGGAAAACTCACAACCCAGACCTCATTGCCTCTGAGGATGCCTGCCATAGATGCAGGCGAAGCGTCAGGAGATAATGCTTCTGGAACATGGAAATACCCCCCCCCCCCCCCCGTAAACTCACAACAACCCAGTGATTCCAGCCACGAAACCTTCGACGATACATATAGAAGTCAGGCGTGGGAAATGATGCCTGTGTTTATATAGCTACGATTTTTCTGGGTCGGTTTGCCATCATTCATAAATGATACAACTCTGTCACAAAACCTATCTTTATATTCAAACTATATATGCAAATACCACGCAAAGTGTACGTGTTTTCACTATTAAAAATTCCGGCCTTGGCGTTTTCCACTTTGGAGGAAAATAATACTAAACAGGAAGCGAAAAAACTTCTCTTTCCAAACCCAACAACAAATTATTTCCTTTTCTTTTAAGTCATGGGATATTATTTAAAGTGAAACTTAGGCCCAGCTGAATAAAATCCCACATTATCTGCTTTGAACTGGAATATATGGCAGTGTGGACTCAGATAACCCACTTCAAAGCAGATATTGTGGGATTTTCTGCCTTGATATCCTTGATATTTCTGCCTTGAGACTTTTACAGGCTTGTTTTGTCCCACTCTCGCTTGCCGGCCAATGCTTTCGGATTTATTTTAGGCTGCGGTCAGGTTTAATAGGGTTTGGAGTGGCGGAAAGGAAAGGGGAGAAAGCTCTCCCCGGCTTCCTTGCCTGCTCCTAAACCTCGGCTCTATCCCGAGGTTGTTTGTTTTTGTTTGGGGACAAAAAAGAGGCAGCTGTCGTCGTCGGAAGCGGACCCGTTTCCCCGTCGCGGCCTCCGAGGCCGAAGGAACCAAAGCAGATGGAGGGAAGCAGAGGAAAGTGGGGCCAACGGGTTGGGAAGTGTTTCAGACTACTGGCAACGGGGCTGGACAAAGTTGGGCCTTCCAGGTGTTTTGGACTTCAACTCCCACCATTCCTAACAGACTCAGGCCTGAGTCTGTTAGGAATGGTGGGAGTTGAAGTCCAAAACACCTGGAAGGCCCAACTTTGCCCAGGTCTGATCTACATCAACATCTTTTCCCTAACGCCTTGAAACAATGTGTAAAATCTAATTCCACGGCTCTCTCTGTGAGTTTTGTGGAGATCTTTCGGCCTTTGCCGCTCTCCTTTCCACAGCTCTGTAATGTATAAGAAACCAAGTTCCTTTCTCCGAAACCATTCCAGTGTCGATACCTTCGTCAAGTTATCCAGACCGATTTCTGCCCTGTGATCTACTTTCGCTTCAAATTGCGGCCTTCATTAGGCACATGGCAAAGCCTGCTTTCTGTTTCTTTTTTCTTATGTATTTTTGGCAAAATTCCTCAGTTGAAGGTTTGTTGTTGTTAGTATGATCACAAGCTCCTCTCCTCGGATCTAGGGCCCCTGAATAAAATCCCACATTATCTGCTTTGTACTGTGTGGACACAAATAACCTTGTTCAATGCAGACATAGTGGGATTTTCTGCCATGATATTCTGGGATATAGGACAGTGAGAACTAAGGACAGAAAGGCTTCACTAAGGACATTCACTCAGGCCCTAGGACTCTAGGTAGGTACTGGGGTGCAGTCCTATATCCCAGAATATCGAGGGATATAGGGCCCTAGAACTCTAGGTAGGTGCTGGGGTGCATGTGTCCCCATGCTCGCGTCCCTATGAATGATGGCAATCCCATAGTTTTTTCTTAGGCAGAGATGTTTCCTTGGAAAGACAGCCAAGGGCACCGAGCTATTCCCTGACACTCTCCAATTCTAGTACTTATTTAGGTGGACACTTGTACCCTACTTCTTTCACAAAATGTTATATGTCATCAGATCTGGGTGTATTTGTATTCATATACAATTTGGGGAAAGGAGTGGGGCACAAGGTGTTCAACACCGGCCTAAACATTACCGTAAATTATTATTATTATTATTATTATTATTATTATTATGAAATATATAATTATAATATAACTAATAATTATTATATTATAATATAATTAATTACAATATAATTATTAATCATAATATATAATTATAATTATTACAATTAATAATAATTAATTATCATTAATAATGCCGGAATCACTGGGTTGTTGTGAGTTTTCCGGACTGTATGGCCATGTTCCAGAAGCATTCTCTCCTGACGTTTCGCCTGCATCTATGGCAGGCATCCAGAGGTTGTGAAGTCTGGGTTGTGAGTTTTCCGGGCTGGGTGGCCATGTTCCAGAAGCATTCTCTCCTGAGGTTTCACCTGCATCTATGGCAGGCATCCTCAGAGGTTGGGAAGTCTGGGTTACTGTGAGTTTTCCGGGCTGTATGGCCATGTTCCAGAAGCATTCTCTCCTGACCTTTCGCCTGCATCTGTGGCAGGCATCCTCAGAGATTGTGAGGTCTGCTGGAAACTAGGAAAATTGGGTTTATATATCTGTGGAGTGTCCAGGGTGGGAGAAAGAACAAATCTATAAATCCCAATTTCCTGGTTTCCAACAGACCTCACAACCTCTGAGGAAGCCTGTCATAGATGCAGATGAAACTTCAGGAGAGAATGCTTCTGGAACACGGCCATACAGGCCGGAAAACACACAACAACCCAATACCCTTACGCTTATGTTGTTTTATTAATTTTATGTCATGCTGTTTACTCTGTATGTTTTGGTGATGTTACTTGGAAACCGCCCTGAGGTAATAATGCACCAGATCCTGTCTGATTTTGGAAGGTTATTCAAAGCGTAGGTTCCTTAGTGAACTTTATGGTGCACAGCGGAAACAGGCTATGTTCAGAGGATTCAGTAAGGACAGTGAGAACTAAGGACAGTAAGGCTTCACTAAGGACATTCACTAGGCCCCATCGACACTGACCAGTCAGTTCCAAGCCTGCATTGAAGGAGTACAGTTTCGGTGTGCATAGGAAAACATAGGAAACCCTGGAACCAGTTTAAGGCCCTGACTGTGATCATTATTACCCAAACCACTGAGCACTGGTGCGCCTTGACGGCTTTCTTTTGCGGAGCTTTTGGGGGAGTTTGTTGCAGTTAGAGAAGCTCGTTTCAGACTGTGTTAAAGAGTCCTAGGGCCGGCCTATGGAAATGTTATGGTGCAGAGCAGGGCCTGCAAAGAGGAGGCAAGGGATTTTTAGAGGATCTTGTGTATATGGGGGTCGGGGGTATGACGGGTGAGGATGGAAGATTGGATCACTAAGAATCCACTAGAGACAATAGGACAGGATCTGTATGCTCGCCCATAACGCCCTTCCTCAGGCACAGAAGAAGAACTGTGTCGAGCTACAGATAATGCAGTCACTGTCACCCGCTTTTGGGTCTAAAACTATTTATCTGCTTGTGGTCCCTTTATTTTATCAGTTTTAAACTTATTTATTATGCAGTGCTTTTGACATGAAATAAATAAAGTGGGGCAGGTAATCTATTGTGGGTTCTGAGGTACTGGAAATGGAGATTTGGGCCACTAGCGGGTTTTTAGTAGATCCACTGAGATCAGTGGATCCAGGTGGCCTGAGAATCTCTTTTGAGCAAGAAAAGCAAGCTACAAATATAACACAGCCCAACAAAAACAAAAAAAAAATTGTCTTGGGTTTTTTTAGGCCTATTCCTAGGGTTATTTGGGGCGTTGATTTAGAAAATTGCATCAGCTCCAAGTTCTTGGATATGGCTATCATAGTTTTTCTATGGCTACTGGTAGGTGCCATATCTCAAAAATTAGAACTGATAGTTGTACTGGTGCCATTTTTGGAATCAGCGGGTCAAATACACCCAGAAAAATGGGGAACATTTGAGGCACCAAAACGTGTGTCAGTATAATTTTATATATATGAGTCCCTTGGGGCGATAGGGAGGCCTATAAATAAAGTATAACAACAACAACAACAACAATAATGAGTCTGGTGTCCTTGGGATCTGGAGTGTTATGTGTTGGAGTGGGAGTGGGTCACCCACTGCTAGAAGTAATAATAATAATAAAAGTAACAATCATAGCCATTTTATGTATTTTAATCGTTCTCTTAGGGTTTATGTCTTAATTATTAATTACGTTATTAGTATAATCGTGTTAATTTGATTACTTGTATTGTTTTTCATTTTGATGTAAATTTCTCTTTTGTTATAAGTTTATGGGTTTTTTTTGTATTATTTTGAGGTGTCTGTATTCGCTTATGGGCATTGGACGTTTGCCTTTTTGTGTATGTAAACCACCCTGAGCCCCCTTGAGAGCTGTCTATAAATAAAGGTTTATTATTATTATTACAACAACAACAACAATAACAATTGGTCTCGAGTCCTGGGGATTTGGAATGTTATGGGTTGGGGTGGGAGTGGGTCACCCACTGTGAGAAGTATTATCGTATAATAATAATAATAATAATAATAATAATAATAATAATAATAATATCGAACCTTGTGTTTCGGAGGATCTAAGGGTGTTATGTGTTGAGGCGGGAGTGGGTCACTCACTGCTAGAAGAAATAATAATAATAATAATAATAATAATAATATCAAGCCTTGTATTTTCGGGATCTAAGGTGTAATGGGTTGGGGTGGGAGTGGGTAATAATAATAATAATAATAATAATAATAATAATAATATAATAATATCGAGTCTTGTATTTTCGGGATCTGTGGTGTTATGGGTTGTACTAGAAGGAATAATAATAATAATAATAATAATAATAATAATAATAATAAGTCTTGTGTTTTGGGGATCTGAGGTTTATGGCTTGGGGTGGGAATGGGTTACCCACTGGTAGAAGTAATAAACATAAAAATAAAAATACCACCGAACCTCGTGTTTTGGGCATCTGAGGTGTTATGGGTTGGGGCGGGAGTGGGTCACCCACTGCTAGAAGCAATAATAATAATAATAATATCGAGCCCTGTGTTTTGGGGATCTAAAGTGTTATGGGTTGGGGTGGGAGTGGGTCACCCACTGCTAGAAACAATAATAATAATATAAAGTCTCGTGTTTTGGCGATCTGTAGTGCTTTTTGTTGGGGCGGGAGTAGTAGTAGTAGTAGTAGTAGTAGTATCGGGTTTCGTGTGTGTGTGTGTGTGTCTCCCACTCTAACCCGTGCTTCTCTCCCTCAGGCCTACTCCTCGGTGCCGGTGAGCAACATGAACTCGGGCCTGGGCTCCATGGCCTCGATGAGTCCCTACATGAGCATGAACGCCATGAGCAGCGGCGGCGGGGGTGGCGGCGGCGGCAACGTGGTGACCTCGGCGTCGTCCTCCTCCTTCCACATGTCCTACGCCAACCCGGGCCTGGGCGGGGGTCTGAGCCCCGGAGGCACGGGCCCGGCCCTGAACTCCATGTCCGCGGCGGCGGCAGCGGCGGCAGCAGCGGCGGCGGCGGCGATGGGCTCGGCCTTGAGCCCCGGGGCCATGAACGGGCTGGGCCCTCCCGGGTCGGCGCAGGGCTCTCTGAACGGGCTGGGCGCCTACGGGGCGATGCCGGGGGGCCACGTCGGGGGCGGAGGGGGCCCTCCGCATTGCATGAGCCCGCTGGGTTACGCGCCGTCGGGGCTGGGCCGGGCCGGGCGGGACCCGGGCAAGGCCTTCAAGCGCAGCTACCCGCACGCCAAGCCGCCCTACTCGTACATCTCGCTCATCACCATGGCCATCCAGCAGGCGCCCAGCAAGATGCTGACGCTGAGCGAGATCTACCAGTGGATCATGGACCTCTTCCCTTACTACCGGCAGAACCAGCAGCGCTGGCAGAACTCCATCCGCCACTCGCTCTCCTTCAACGACTGCTTCGTCAAGGTGGCCCGCTCGCCCGACAAGCCCGGCAAGGGCTCCTATTGGACCTTGCACCCGGATTCCGGCAACATGTTCGAGAACGGCTGCTACCTCCGGAGGCAGAAGCGCTTCAAGTGCGACAAGCAGCCCGGCGGCAAAGCGGGAGGAGGAGGAGGAGGAGGAGGAGGGGGGGGAGGCGGCGGCAGCGGGAACGGCAACAACCACCAAGGAGGCGACAACCGGAAGGAGCAAAGCACCAACTCGGGCTCGCCGTCGCAGCGGGGCGGGCAGGCCAAAGCGGGCCAGCTGGAGCCCGCCCCGTCCAGCCCTTCGCCCACCTTGGACCACGGCGCCGAGCTGAAGCCTTCCGTGGCGACGGCGGTGGCGGCCTCCTCGGTGCCCGGCGTGCCTTCCTTGGCCTCCTTGGGCCACCCGGGCCTGGGCTTGGGCCACCCGCACCCCCACGCGCACCACCACCACCACCACCACCACCACGAGCCGGCGCTGCACCTCAAAGGAGACCCGTCGGCCCACTATGCCTTCAACCACCCCTTCTCCATCAACAACCTCATGTCCTCCTCGGAGCAGCAGCAGCAGCAGAAGCTGGACTTCAAGGCCTACGAGCAGGCGCTGCAATACTCCTCCTCCTACGGAGCCGGCGGGCTGCCTTTGGGCGGCGGAGGGGCCTCCTCGGTGGGCGGCCGCGGGGGCATCGAGCCCTCCGCCCTGGAGCCCTCCTACTACCAAGGGGTCTATGCCAGGCCCGTCCTAAACACCTCCTAGCCGCGCCGGCGCCCAGCTCGGTCGCCCTCCTGCCCCCCAACAGGTCTCCCCAGCGATCCTTCTGCAGACTGACTCTGTGCCCCAATCTGGCACAGCCCCGACCTCCCCATAGAACTCTTTGCCTACTCAACGTGTGCCCCACAGACTGACACCACCAGAAAGTAAGCAAAGGAAGGAGTGGGGAGGAAAAGAAAGGACTGTTACTTTACTCTCACGATTGTGGTTGTTGTTATTATTCCTGTATCCCAACGCGTCTTCTTTCTTCTAGTTTGGCCCCAAAAGCGCCCCCGTCCCCCCCCCCAGGTCCTATCTACACTGACTATTTAATGCAGTTCAGGCTCCTACAGAAAGGCTGCAAAACAAAGCCCTTCACGAGCACCGGTGTTCTGTGGTGGGTTTAATCATCAAACTGAATTTCAGGATTTTCCTGTTGTAATCATCTGCACAGCCTAATGGGTTAAACCCTTGTGCCAGCAGCATTGCTGACCAACCAGGTTCGAATCCGGGGAGAGTGGGTTGAGCTCCCTCTGTCAGCTCCAGCTTCCCATGAGGGGACATGAGAGAAGCCTCCCACAAGGATGGTAAAACACCAAAAAAACCCAGGAGTCTCCTTGGGCAACGTCCTTGCAGACGGCGAATTCTCTCACACCAGAAGCGACTTGTAGTTTCTCATGTTGCTCCTGACACACACACAAAAATGAGCACTGGTGCTCTGTGGTTTGCCTCATCAGACTGGTTTCCAGGATTTTCCTGTTGTCATTCTCAGCAGTGCCCAGGAAACACCGGTTTGAAACTGCACTAAATGGTCAGCGGAGATAGTAACCCTATGTCCCCACCTACCCACCCAACCGCACATATATATAGACTGTAGATATATATAAATATATATAAATATATTGGCCCACCCCCTTGCCATGACCACTTTAAAGGGAGAGAAAGGGAGGAAGGTTTGTCCATCTTGTCCAAAAATAAGAGGGGGTGGGTTTCTGCCACTTCCCTATTATCTCGAGTTGAATCCGGGACATTCTCGGGGCCAAGCCTGAATTGCCCGCTCGGCTTTCATAATACACCAGGGACCAGGTTTAGGGTGTTTTTACACCAGGCATGGGCCAACTTTGCCCTTCCAGCCAGGGGTTTTGGACTTCAACTCCCACCATTCCTAAACAGCCTCGGAGGCCCCTTCCTTTTCCCCCTCAGATGCTTAAGGAAGCCCAATCCGACCAAATAAAGCTCACCAAGTTGAAGAGAAGTCAAGGTCTCACCAAGTTGGAGAGAAGCCACCGAGGTTTTTTATTAAAGCGGGGGGGGGGGGGGGGGGCTGCTTCCTTTTCCCCCTCAGATGAGGTTTTTTATTAAAACCTCGGGGGGGGGGGGCTTCCTTTCCCCCTCGGACGCTTAAGGAAGCCCAATCCGACCAAATAATGCTCACCAAGGTGGAGAGAAGTCAATGTCTCACCAAGTTGGAGAGAAGCCACCGAGGTTTTTTTTATTAAAGTCAGCCGAAGTGATGTCAGCTTGCGGTAGCCCGCTAAAGTAAAAGCTAAGATACACAACACAGTAAAACATGCTTAAGTGGCTGGGGGGGGGGGGGAGGGCCTGAGGCGGTTAGGAATGGTGGGAGTTGAAGTCCAAAACACCTGGAGGGCCGAAGTTTGCCCATGCCTGTGATACACCCTTAGAAAATTACATTTCAACCAGGAAGCTTTGGAATGAGCGATAGCAAAACAGGGATGAAGACTTTGTAGGCTCCGTGCGTGGAAACCTTTCTCCCTCAGAGAAGCCACGCACATTTCTTGGCTCAGGCCTCTCTCCCTCATTCCCACACACAACAAACCCAGTGGGCCAGATCCGGAACGACGGAGGAGTCCAAGAGACGACTTGCCTGGGATACACAAGACTCACACAGGTCACAAGCCAGTTGAAGGCGTATTGTTGTTGCTATTGTTATTATTATTATATATCTATATATTTTGCCCAAGCTGTTACTTGAGGAGTCGCCTTCAGCGAGGGAGGGGGGATTTCCTGGCCACGTGGAGGATCCCCATTTTTTTCCCTTCCTGCGTGAAAGAACTATAGTATAACTATTCATGGCGACATTATTATGATGATGATCCAAGCCTCCCCACCGCCCCCCTCCCATCAGATTTTAGAGGGATTCTCTTTCTCTTTCTCATCCTTCCTTCCATCAGATCAATTGACTCCCCAACCCCTTCCCGCACCCCATTTCTTGTGACACGTCCATCCAGTGTTAATGCACTTTTTCCACCGTTTTTTACACCTCCAAACGGGTTTCTCTCCCTTCCCCCCCCCCCCTATTCCCTTTCCTTCTGTTGTTTTCTCTCCTCCTTGTTGGCTGTCACGACATACTATTAATTTATTTGCACGGTTTCTATTTTCTCTCCCCCCCCCCCCTTTTACAGCTTTGACAGTGCTTTCAATGACGGTTTTTCAAAATGAGACGCCATTTAAAGAAAATAAACACACACAAAATTATCTTAATTTTATAATAAATGTGATTGTAATTGAGAGAAATGCTTTGATGTTTTTTTTAAATTGACGGTCTGAGTATGGTTTTTTGGTTTGTCTCTTTCTCTCGATCATTTGCAGTTAAGGACTTTAAATAAATCAAGCATTATCAATGAGTGCCTATTATTATTATTATTATTATTATTATTATTATTAGGTGCATAGCAAGATTAGTACACAGCAAACAAGATCACAATGCTAGCTTTTGTATTGGATCACACTTCGGACACTAGGGAGGCTTTTTGCAGCTGGTAGATGGTAATTTTGACAGTGCCTCATTGTTTTTAAGTGCAGGCCAAGGTCTTTAGGCACTGCACCCAGTGTGCCAATCACCACTGGGACCACAAATACAAAAGTAGCTCATCAACAACTGATGGTCTCCCACTTTGAAAAAAATGACAAAAGCTGGAAAGTCATTGTCACCAGGGTTTGTAGTCAAAAGATATATATTAAAAAAAGGGACTGAACCAATTCACAAATAGGAAAGTACAAGAGAAATCTAGTTGCTTTGGGACCATCACGTTTACTGTAGTGGAATAAATACTAGGGTGGCCTTTTGCAGCTGACAGATGGTATTTTGTCAGTGCCCGATCGTTTTTAAGCACAGGCCAAGGTCTTTAGGCACAGCACCCAGTGTGCCGATCACCACTGGGACCACAAATACAAAAGTACAAGAGAAATCAAGTGTCTTTGAGACCATCAAGTTTACAACTAAATCCATCCTCCATTCACTGCGGTGGAATAAATAATGTGATGACATGGAATAAATTTAGAAGAGAAATCAATTCCTTCCATTTGGAAGATGTGTGACACAGCATGGCACGGGATTGTGATAAATCTTATTTTCTGCAATGGGGTATTGTCCTTAATGTATTTGGATTGTAGTTAGACCCTTCCCTTAACATGGAAAGCTTTTAGGAATTATTATTATTATTATTATTTGAAACACAAGATTAGTATACAGCAAACAAGGTCACTCTGCTGGCTGTTGTATTGGATCACACGTCTGACACTTTCCAAGTGTCTAGGACTGTGTGATGTATCGTCGAATAATCTGTGCAGATCCCAGTAGGGTGGCCTTTTGTAGCTGACAGATGGTAATTTTGTCAGTGTCCAATTGTTTTTAAGTGCAGGCCAAGCTCTTTAGGCCCTGCACCCAGTGTGCCGATCACCATTGGGACCACCTTTACTGGCTTGTGTTAGAGTCTTTGCAGTTCGATCTTTAAATCCTCATATTGTGTAAGCTTTTTACAGTTGCTTCTCATCAATCCTGCAGCCTGGGATTGCAACATCCACGATCCATAATTGTTTTTTCCCCTACGATTGTGAAGTCAGGAGTGTTGTGCTCCAAAACTCTTATCAGTCTGAATTCGGAAGTCTCAGAGTAGTTTGACTTATTATTATTATTATTATTATTATTATTATTATTATTATTATTATTATTATTATTATTATTATTGGGTTGCTGTGACTTTTCCGGGATGTATGGCCATGTTTCAGAAGCAGGTTGTGAGGTAGACAAGGGAGGTTTATATATCTGTTGAAGGTCCAGGGTGGGAGAAAGAACTCTTGTCTGTTGGAGGCAAGTGTGAATGTTGCAATTATTATTATTATTATTATTATTATTATTATTATTATTATTATTATTATTATTATTATTATTATTATTATTATTTGAAACACAACAAGATGAGTCCACAGCAGACAAGATCACTCTGCTGGTTGTTGTATTGTATTATTGTATTATTGTATGATGATGATGATGATGATAATGATGATCTCTTTTTTGTTCCAATCTTGGAAGACTTATATAAGACTTCTGGCCTTATTTTCCCTGTAGTTTGGGGTTGAAAGAGAGAGGCAGGAGGAATAAACAAAAGAGATCCTTGGCTGCTTCTGCCCGCCTTTCCTCCCCAATTCAGAGCATTCAAAGCCACTGGGGCGGCTGTGATTAAGGCTTGGGATGTCCAAACACACGGCTTATGAGGTGTATATTAAATATTTATTGAACATATTGAATATTTAACCAGAAGACCGATCCTGCAGGACAAAAAAAAAACTTATCACAAATTGAAATATTCACGCTTCATGCAAATGGTGGAAATAGCAGTGCAATTAACATCTCTCGATATTTGCATCGAGGGAATTGACAAACGGTGTTCATTTCCTTCGAGAAGAGAAATGTTCGGTTTGGTAGGAAAGACTTTTCTTCCCCTCCCTTTCCTTCTTCCTTTGGAGGCTGGAATATCTGAAGGAAATATCTGCCGCATTCTGTGAATATTATATTATATTATATTTTTCTATTCTATTCTATTTATTATATATTATATTATATTATATTATTATTATATTATATTATATTATATTATATTATATTATAATATTATTATATTATTATTATAGTATATTATATTTTCTATTCTATTCTATTATACTATAGTATTATCTTATTATATTATATAATATTATAGTATATTATATTATATATGGGGCAGTGGGTTAAACCGCTGAACTGCTGAACTTGATGACTGAAAGGTTGGTGGTTGGAATCCGGAAAGCGGGGTGAGCTCCCGCTGTTAGCCCCAGCTTCTGCCAACCTAGCAGTTCAAAAACATGCAAATAAGAATAGATCAATAGGGAAGGTAATAAGGCTTCCCAGAGTACTTCATGTCAGGGGAAACCTTTACTTTTTATATATATTTTCGTGTCAGGAGCTACTTGAGAAACTGCAAGTAGCTTTTGGTGTGAGATAATTGGCTCTCTGCAAGGATGCTGTCCAAGGGAAGCCTGGATGTTTTACCACCCCGTGGGAGGCTTCTCTCATGTCCCCCGCAAGGGAAGCTGGAGC